CTTTGTTATTCATTGCTTTTTTTCATTAAAAAGTAATTCATTCTGTTACAAATGAAACACCATTCTCTCTTGTATGCCGTAAGGCCCAAACATAACTGCACTTATGTCTTTTTTTATCTTGCGTATATTTTGTAATGTATGCCTTTTGGACGAACAAAATTATTTTCATCTTCTTCTTCTTATTACTTGATCCATTCATTAATAGTGGCCACGTTCGACGGATCTGGATTTGATTTCAATGTATCTGAAATGACAAATTCATTTTGATATTTTCATCCGATTTAAAATACTCCGAAATTATTTGAAAAAACAGTTGTCTTAGATTGTGTTTCTACATAATCTTGAAGACAAGCAAACTTCTTAGTCGAATTCGTTATTTAATGGATACTTCTAAGCAAATTATAAGTTAGAAATAATCATAAGTAAATCAATTTTATTAAGAGTAACCTAGTTTTATAAGCGATAGCACTCAAGTAGGGCAGGAAGTAGACATTTTGTTCTACTTAAGAAAGTTTTCTTTTAAACTAGAATGTGCTAGTTCAATTACGCTCTGTTACGCCCCTCATCTAATTGAACTTTATTTTGAATAATAAATTTGTCTTTTTCATAGAGATCGGTTTTATGTCGAGTTTCACTACAATGTCGTCTGCTATTTACAAATTGTTGTACAAACTTTACAATTTGTATTAAAAAATGTTTTACAATTTTCTATGAAATCAGTACAGTAAATAAGCTGTTTGGTCTTCTGAATGTACATAATATGCTGTTCATGAGGTGCTGTTTAAATCTTTGAAAACCCCTAAGTAGTCTCGCAAAATTAGGATAAAATGTAAGGAAATACGCACTTAGCGTGCGTATTTCCTTACATATGCGTTAAACACTATAGTTATTCTAAGCAAGCATATATAGCTCTGTATTTTTTTACAATTTTGCCAGAGTTATTGGTTAAAAAGCGTTAATTAATGTTTGGCCAGTAATATCAAGAAAGGTTAGAAATACTGTTAAATCCTCATAGAGGATAAAGATCTAATAGGAGCGACAAATATTATTATCCATTTTATTTATTTGCTCTACTCATATTTCTGCTGGTAATAATTATTCTGACACGACTTAAGTATTTTCCTCTAGCGTCGTAGATATTATTATTCTATCCACATAAAAATAACGACGGTATTATGTACAGGAATATTGCTTATAAAGTTTTTGTACATAGGGGGTTATACTTGCAGCGAGGCGCTTCGAAGAAATTGGCCTCGGAAGAAATCGAGTTAAGTGATCGAAACTTGTTCAGGATCACGACATGATATTATGAGAAGTGGAACATTTATGTTGTTGAGATAACTTTTTAGCTGTTTTTCCTAGAACGTGAAGGTTTTTTTTGGTTATGTTCCTTGGTTTTTTAGCCAGTATATTTTATGAAGAAGAGTTTCTTATTTGTTGACGTTACTTCTTTTATTCCCCGAAAGATCAGATTGAGGAAATTTACTTCACCGAATTTTCGTTTTTGTATTTCTATAATTATAGCATGATCATTAATGCACAGTAATAATGCGACTTTTATTTGCATTCAGGTATTGAAAGTTTTTTTCTATTCATTCTAATATATGTGCCAACGTAGCATAATTGTCTAATAAACCAAATGCTTTTAGTGCTCTATTGAACTGAAGTGGTTGAGGAAAATGTAGACATTTGCCACCTTTACAAAACGTACAGATGGTAGATAGCACATCAACCTATACTAATTTGTCGTTTTATTCATTGGATTTTCGACTTTATAGGTATTAGAATAATAAAGTTGAACGGAAGCCTGCTTGTTTTGCGTTTGTAGTACCTACCTTAGTTTCACCCTCCGTACTCATACCCCTTTAGCTTTTTGAACACGTTTCGCGAACCCTCCGGGATCAATAGCAAGTCGTTCTCAATTGCTCTGAACTCCCCGATACATGTTACCTGACGTGGCTTTTACAAATAGTGGGTAGTGATATACTTAAGGGTCGTGAGGGTAGAGGATGACATTCCTTCTTTGGTTGGTACATTAGGTACATTTATTTATAAAATGACGATGACTAGCAATATTTTTGTTTTATATTCTATAGGTTACGAGTTAAAGGTGAAACAATAATTTCTCCCAGTAATTTAAATAATGGGGTGCGGTTTCAATCTTTGCTATTTTAAGCTACAATAACATTCACAGAAATTACAACATTACACACTAACTGTGCACCGTTATTTCTCAGTATATAGGAAGATAAAAATAAAATTATATCGACTCTACATTGCAATAATAGAATAAAAATGATCAAACTTGCATTCATTGATTTTAGGATATAATTATTCCAGGTTAGGAATACTGTTAAATCCTCATAGAGGATAAGAATCTAATAGGAGCGACAAATAATATTATCCATTTTATTTATTTGCTCTACTGATATTTGTGCTGGTAATAATTATTGTAATAATTATTCTATAGAATAAAAATGATCAAACTTGCATTCATTGATTTTAGGATATAATTATTCCATATTTACATTTTTATACAAGATTATGGATGATACTGGATGTAGAAAAAGCATGACTTCACAATACAGGATCACAAAATCTATAAAACAAAGTATTAATTTTGACTAGTTGTCGAGTGTCCAATTATATCGTTCGGTATTCATTCTTGTCCGTCATTAGAACGATCTAATAAAATATTGAAATGTAACAACCAGTTATTAAATAAAATATATTCCAATACACGTGTTACCACGATCCAATGTCACAGAATTCAAGGATACCACAAATTCAATCTATTGTTGTAATAGCCTAAGTTTGACGCAAATCCATATCTATGTCAGTGAAAACTTAGATTTAGATATTGATTCGAAACTTATTCGTCATATGAATACTAATCAGCCTCCAACTGATATGGATAGTGATTAGATTTATTAGGAAGGTTATACAAACAATGTGTCCACTAAAGAAACCTACAAAATGAATGCTATTATTCTGTATGTATATGTCTTGTACAAGCCGATTAAGTCGATAGAAAACAAAACTTAATTAAGCATTACGCTGGAATTATTCCTAACTTCGATACCCATTTAACTTACCACACTGAAATAAAGCCATCATCATCATCGTCAGCCTATAGTGCCAACTGCTGAGCGAAGGCCTCTTCTCATACGGAGAAGGTTAGAGCATTAATCAAAACGCTTGCTCAATGCGGGTTGGCGATTTCAAACTTATAATTAGAAATTATAAGTCCAGATTTCCTCACGATGTCAACCTTCACCGTATATCAGTGGTGCCTAAATAATCATAGAAAGTACATATAACTCGGCAAAATTCACATTGGTACTTGCCAGGTTTCGAACCGAAGCGGGCTCCTTAACCTCCGGGCCACCATGACACCACCAAAAAAAGCCATGCTTTCACTTTATGTCACAGTGTCTTAATCATATTTTCACGTGTGAAAATATTCAAAACGTTCATTGGCCATAAAACAGGTATAGTAAGTAACCTTAGTGTGCTGTTATTGTTGTAAAGAAATAATCATTAATCGCTTGCAAAGTGCCACAACACAATAGATCGTTAAAATTAAACAAAGGTACATTATTGACGTCATAAAGGTAAATTTGTCGTGAATGAAGTGAGATTGATTGAAAAAAAAAATGCAAAAATAACGAAATATTTTTATAATTGAGTTGGACCAAATATAGCCCCTTGTGGGATCCCCGTTTGCCACCTGAACGCATTACAGATAATTCATATACTTAGATGAGTTTTGTGAAAACATGTTCCGGGGAGCAAGTTTTGTGTTGAAAGGATTCGGTGAAAAACTGTTTACGCGATTTCCGGATAAACCTTGAATCCGAACACGTTACACTGATTCAATAACACTCCAAACTCCGAAGTTTCAGAATGTTTTGACACGTGCCTCCATCCACACGTCATGTTGTACAACGTGATCAGACACAGGTCTCGTCCTAAATCCTAGACGTGCTATGAATAAATCCAACTTTATCACTTTCATTTTAAGTTTTAAAAAAAGGTCTGACCGACAGAAACTAAATATAAGTATTTAATAATTTCTTTTACATTTGTCTTTCTTCCAATTTTATTTCTAGATTAAATGGAATCAGCTTTATTGCTTATTTCCAAGAATTTTAGTCAAATTAAATTAGAAATTATCATTCACATTTCTTATTCTGATAATAAATAATTCGTTGTCTTCGCGTCTGTTCGTTATTATTAATCGTAATTGTAATATTTAATGAAAACCCAGAGAAAAATCAGCAATCCAAAAACGAAAATAAATTATCTGAAAATAGGAGTCGGATTCATTTTGGTCCCGAACTTTCAAGTAGAAATTTCCATCGGACCTTCACCGTCAAGTGTTCATAAACATACATTCGTAATTTGATTGATGCTACCAAACTTTGTCGATTTCGGCGTTTGAGAATTTTCGCAGAGACCTTTTCACGATCCATTAGGACCGTCGTACATTGTTTTATGTCCTTTATTATTTCTCGGAAGTTTGACCAGTCTAAATTGATTTGGCAGCATTTAAGTGGATTTATACTAAAACTTATTTTTAGGTCAGTTTTAGTTTTTAGGTCTAAGCTTATTAGGAATTTGGACGCGAAAACTAGTACTTTGATCGTTATCGCGTCTAGAAATGGGCACGAACACAAAGTAGGTTTTCAAGACGTTTATTAATGACCCTAGTTAACATTTCAAGAGGTATATTTAGGAGAGAATATTTTTTAGGGTTTAATTTGTACACGATGATCCACTCTTTTCTAAAGCTAATCTATACTAATATTATAAAGCTGAAAAGTTTGTTTCTTTGTTTGAACGCAATTATCTCAGGAACTTCTGGTTCGAATTGAAAAATTCTTTCGAAAAAACATCACGCTACGGTCTGTCGGAACCGAACAGCGGATGAAACCGCGCGAGATTAGCTAGTTTAATTACAAATATTGATAAATAATAAGGTTTTATCTTTGTTCTAGGCGTATGAGAGGCGGTTCCCAAGCTGTCCTCAAATCCCAGTGGTGGTGGAGTGTGTGATCACGGACGACAGCTGGTCAGCAGACGACTCTCAGCGACAGACAACCAGGCGGTGTCAGTTAAATGTCGAAGCGCCTTATCTTCTAAAGAAGGTATATTTCTTTACCTGTTCGATCAAACTTCATCAATTTCATCACATTCATTGTCCATTATTGACAACTAATATTCTTAGTCATCATAAATCGTATCAGTTAAAATCTCTCTTGTTCCAGATGATCGGCGTAGACTACATCTACTTTATCCAGAAGAACAACCTGGACCTCAAGAAAAGGGTTTTGGAAATCGAAGCTACGAATGAGACCTTTTCTTCTAGAGTCGGAGTCGTTGAAAAATGCAAATATTATGTGAGTATTTATACCAAAACATTCTTTGATCTTTGATCCATCCATGATTGTGATGTAATCCGATTTGATCGAACCTCTTTTTTACTTTCTGACCCTTCAAAAGGTAAATGTCGATAGCTTCTCGGAAAACCGGTAAGCAGTGTAGTGACCGAAGTATAATGTTTCAAGGTGTTTTCAATTATTATTATTTTCGGGTTACTATCCAAATATTATTTATTAAAAAACCTTTTTGCGGCAAAATTCTGCTGTTGCTATATACGTCTAGTCTTGTTTCTTTGATGAGGGTCTGACGAATTTCCCCGAAAAAAGGTAATTGTTTTTAGCACTTTTGTGCTATCATTCGGGCTATGGACACCGGTATTTTTATAAGGCCTCGTTTAAATTCTTATTGTTTCAACAGGAGCCGTTACTTATCTTTTTCGTTTAATTGGAAAAGACTTGTTTAGAAAACATGAACTGTTTAAAATAATAGGATAAAATACATTTCCTTGCAATTGTAATGTTTGTTGTTTATCAACCTGATAATTACAGATAATTACCGACACTATTCAAGGGTGTTAAACGGAAGTTTCTATGAACGGAAAGCATTTCAATTAGCAGGCTATCAATATTGTGAGCTGTGCAAAATATTCTATGCTAACAGTGTTTGTCTTTGGTGAATATTCATTGACTGCTTCACCTCGAAACGTTACATTCATCCCGAATCGCTCCAGATATCTGCCAAAATGTTATTGTTGAAAACTACTCGCTGTTTACATTAACTTCTACATTTAGAAATTCAAATCCTGTTTTGAAAACGTTACAAGATATATCGAATCGGAGATTAGTTCCAGTGTGCGTGTTAGAAATTGGTGAGATAAAATTCGGTGCTCATTTTTTGCAGCGTCAATAAAAAAGCTTTGAATTAGCGAACCTCTGATTATGGATTTAATATTGTTAACTTATTCAGTGAAGGGATAAGAAATTAAATAAACAAACGCTCCTAATTATCGTCTACTTAACAATTCTGCATTCGATCTCACTTTAGAGCGAACATGATATTTCATTCAGAACATTCCAGATTCGATAACTGACTGGTATTTGTTGGAAAATTGAAGGAAGCTGCCAATTTTTAAGCAAATTATTTAATAATAAATACTGCACAGTTGCAACACGAAGGAAGGTGGGTAACTGTAGGAAACACTAACAATTCAGCCGATTATATCTTGAGTGACGCAACGGTGGAAAGTGCACGCGATGAAATTGCTAATAATGTGGGGTGGACTGGTCTCGGGATTACGAACCACATTCTACAACGACATTGTCCTCAAGCCGGCTGTGCAAGCAGTTACGAATACAGTCGTCCTGAGTAACCATGTAAACTAACCCTCGACACACTTTGGTACAATGTTTTAGTAGAACGAGCACCTAGCTTCACTGACGAACAAACTGACAGACTACTATTCCATTTTATTTTATCAAAAATCTACGGTTTAGTTGGAATCAATGACCTTGACTTTGACTTTAGTGTGAAATGGCCGGAAATTAGTATCAAACTAGCTTTTAATAGGGACGAGTCGCTAGTTCAAAAATCGTAGGCGTTTGCTAGTTCAAAAATTCTGCCACTAGTTGGAACGCCAAAATCCCAATTAGGCTCTCGTCACAGGAAAAAATCACAGCAATCTTTCACTTTTTCCCACAAAATGACTTCAGGATTTACGATTCACGTCGCAATTTGCGATGACATGACAAAAAATGTCAGGCCGGCTGCTAGCAGGTGGTAAACGAACACTTGCCACCAAAACAAGCCGGTTTTCAGCAATATCGAGCTAATGGTTATTTCGGCACTCGAAACCATATACCTGTTACAATTTTTCGCCACATAAAACCTTTAGGCTAAGAACTCACGGAGCGATTTTCGCCCGCGTCCGCTGCGGTTGCGGGCCCGCAGCTTCTGAAGAATTCAAATATATATATAAAAAATTAAAGCACATTTCACGACGCGTTTTACGCCCGCGGTGTACGCGGTTGTATGCGGCTCCCGCTGTACCGGCGGGCAACTAGTAGAATCGCGCGGGCCGCGGTTACCCGCAGCCTCGGCGGGTGGCACCCGCGCGCTTTGCGATCGGTTGGCGAGCGACCGCGGGGGCCGGCGGATCTTCTGTGAAGTAAATATAACGCAACGGCTCGTTTCTGGTGTGCCTTGCAATCTTGCGATCATCGCCCGCCACGTTTGCGGGCGATGATCGCAACCGCGGCGGCTGTGTAACCGCGCAAATAACCGGTCTCGTGAGTTTGGAAATAAAACCGCAGTTCCGCTACCGCGGCGGGCACGGTTCAAAATCGCTCCGTGAGTTCTTAGCCTTATGGTCTTGAAATGGCAGCTGTTGCATTAATACGTAAATTGGCGATTCTTATTTATTTTTTAAAACCCAGTCCATTAGTTGTTTGTTATTGCTTTAATTTATTTTTGAATATTCATGAGACACCAATGTCAGAGTTAATTTACGTGCTCATATAAAAATTTGAAACAAAGTTCACTTTAACTGTTGGTTGATTTTTGCTCAATTGAAAAAATGCATACGATTCACTGAAGATACTGAACTGTCAGGAATTTTACTGCAATCTCTTTTGCAAGTCCAGCAGCACATTCGCATCCCTCATTACAAGGGAAACGCATTACTAACGCACATAATTTATACTTCCAAGCATTGCAGATACTCGACACTTACAAACGAAATTACGCTCACCCTCTTTATAACAGAGACTATTTTCATACCACCACCCAACATTGATATACGCCCGGTTCCTATAATTGAGAAACGATCCGTTTTAATTACGAATAGTAGTTTTATATACGACTCGTAAGCTAAAACCGTTCCTATAATAAACGTCTCGTCGTGCAACTTACTGACGGTTTGCAACTAACGGATATCGGTAAGCGAATTGTATGGAGATCTATGGTGTCTGTGGTTTTCCTATAAATATTTTAACCGTCAGTAGACGGTCAAGATAACTATTCGTACTGTCATTTGGTCGTAATGCGTATACAATGACGATTCGTTAAATATAGGAACCGGGCAATAATGGATTGCACATGCTCTTAGCTATAAAATACGAAAGAGCACTTTACGCTGTCTTAATTAGGTCTATATTCGTATTGATCTTGCTGGTAATAACTTAGCTAGGGACGTAGGTATAGCATTAGTATGAACAAGGACGTTCCCAAGGTCATTGGTTAGGTTTTCATCGGTGCACGCGTGTACATTGTGGGAACGGAAGGGTGTGAAATTGCTTATGTCACATTGTATCATGTCTTTGGAACATGGATAAACAAGTGACTGCAGAAGGGCTGAGTGAGAAAGAATGTAAAATATGGAGTAAGGAGATTACACCATCGCGTTAACGCGTTGTCCTATATTGATGGCAGTTTATACTAGCTTGGATAGAGATGGATTCAGAAAGATCTGCCTTGTAGCGCAGAGCAGTTCAAGATCAGATCTTGTGGGTAGTCGAATTCAGTTCATTTATTTACAGCAAATGATTTCTTGTTATGCTTCTGATACATTTTCGCTCTTCTGGCCTTTTTCCAATTGCAGTAACATCAACATGATTCACAGTGAAAATAAGTCGAATCTTTGTTCAAATATTTCTTTTATTTAATTTCGCTTGTTTTTAAAGCGTTGCCCCACTCGAAGTTTTTACCTGTATCGATGGTGCGTTTACAAACATAAACATCACACCCAGTTCCGGAACAACAATTTGTGGATCACACAAAGAGTTGTTCCGTGCGAGAATCGAACCCAAGACTCCCCAGTTTCGTGGCCAGCCCAAGTTGCACAGCCATGGCGCCAACCGGGCAGTCTTTACTTTTTAACTGGACCTGTAATAGTTACATGAGTTGCTATTGTTTTAACTTCTAGTAAAAGTATTTTCGGCTGGGATAAACAATATCTGTCAATAACTATTTTGAACAAATCTTATGCTACTGTGATTCCTTATAAAATCGGGATTGCGTAATTGCAAATCTTTTACAAATTATTGTTTGTGTATATTTTAAATATATACCTATATATTTAAAATGATAAAGATTATCAACACATTATTTTATAAATGGACTCAAGTTTTTCAACCGTAATTGTCATAACAGCCAACTATAAAAGTTATCGCAATAATATTATTATTTACATCAGCATTTGCCGTTTGGCCTTCCGATTTGCATGAAAAGTTATAATTTTTTCGTGCCTTCATTTCTGTTTGTACATTACGTTTACTTATTTTAGCCTCTTTAGGAAATTCCTCTGGTTCGTTATCTTCTTTCATCTTTTATTTATTTATTATTCTATTATACAGTTTATAGTACACCAAATAAAACAAAGTGGCATACTTATACAAACTACAATGGGCGGTGTGTTTGCACGAGCCTATCTCTTACAGATATCCTCTTTGTATTCAACCAAGCTAAGTTCAAGTTTCTCTATCAAATACTTGCTTTTTAATCCTTTCTCATGTCCTTACTGCAATGGCTGATTTCCCATCATTCACAAACAATATAATAACAAAGATTTATAAATCCGTCCCTGAATCGCCTTTGATCACGTTCTTTGTACCTACTTGAGCGATTCACGAGACGGGAAGTATTCTATCAGGCATTCTCGAACGTCCAGTTATTGTGAACTGTGTCTATTGAACGGTGACCGTGGAGGGTGAAAGTAATTTGCTTTTGTTACAAGCTTGTGTATGGATCTAAATATAGTGGTGTCTTTTACGCGTTTGAATGTTTTCAATCGTTTTATTTTCTTTGTAACCATACAAGTAAACAATAATATTTTATTGTATATCTTCAGCATCCAAATGCTTCATTATTTTCCTCGTCCAGGTGGTTATAGCTCCATTGACCTGTCCTCTGTCAATCTCGTCTTCCAGGATTCAGGTCACGTACACAAACAGCAATTTTCTAATAACCAGTACCTATGATCGTAAAATTAATTGATACCGTTTTATGTTTCATGTCCATGATGGACGAGTTTTATTTGTCTGTTATCCACCTTAATAAAATTTTATGAGTGATATTTATCTATAAATCTCAACTGCGTTTTTGTCACGTATGTAAAATATTTAATTAAACCTAAAATGAAGAGATGCCGCTTATAAAAAAGATGATTAAAAACTAGATGGTATATATGTTACAAAAAAGTGCACGTAGCTAGTGTGAGATTTGATTAGGTTTCTGCGGTTTAAGCCGTTGGCAAGGTCAGCTTAGATTAAAAGTCAGAAGATGCTGAGCTACATAATATGTACATATATCTCTACTATCGAACATACCCAGGTGTAAATTACATCTATAGAGGAGTTTAAAAAGTACAAAGAAGTTTGCATTTTTCAAAGGGCTACCTACTTGGTGGCAGGAAATTGCTTTTTCTGCAAGTTGAGTTTAGTATTATTCTAGAAAGGCGTTTAGTCTTTTATTAAGCCCTTAGTGTAGCCGAGGGAGTATTAAAAGAACTATCTAAACTACCTACGCGGTATGGTATGAAAAATAAGGGGTTTGGTTTTACGATTAAAATAAATTGAAGCTATAATTTCGTTTCAAAGAATTTATCTTGAACTATTAAAGATATTATTATAACCAATATCGAATTTAATACCAACCGCCATTGAGAACAAACAGTTACAAGTTAAACCAGACTTAAAAAGGTCCATTAGCATGTTGATGGGTTCGATCTACAGGTCTTGGATCCTAACCACTTTGCAAATTAAGATATCTTCTAAGATATGTAAGTACATTCAAAAATAAGCCCTCAGAGCATTACCAACAAATGCATACATGTAAAGCTTGCCAAATGATATTTGCATAAAGCCAACGTTCGCTACGATACGTTTAGAGGCACTGGACCATAATCATTTCGAAATGTTTGCGTTACTACGTGTGTTGCGACGTGGAATCATTTCTGAGGTGTACTGGAACCTGCAGACTGCCTTTCATATATGAGATTGAACTATAATAATATGTGGTTGCTTTTCTAGTTTGCCTTTGAAATAAAGCACACTGACTGCACAGTTGACGCTTTGCTATCTCTCTGTGTAATTTACAAATGGTTGTTCTGGATCTGCGATCTCTGTCAGTGTGTGTTATGTAAAATATTATGTTTGTTTTTTTATGTTTGTTTGTATTAGGTTTGTAAACACACTAATGACCACACTCCCACCCAGAGCCTGTGCCGGGGTTGCGGGGTAAGCGCAATGTGGCAACGCGACCTCGGCCCAGAGCAGGAGAAGGAACAGGGGGGTTTTTAGTCAGTAAGAGTCTGACACTCTAATGTCTGAAAATCATCAAATGACTTCTCCCGCCCAGGGCCGGGCGGCAGAAGTCATTTGATGATTTTCCCCAGACCAGAAAAAAAAACAGTCAAACAACCAGAGCCTATGGTCATCCAGAGAAGGATTACAAGTGCTAGTGCAGTTGGATCTCTCCTGCGGCATTGGCCTACACTAAAGGCACTTCCTACCAGGCATAAAAAACCCTAGTGTGTAGCAGCGTTTTTCAAAGAAAACAAAGAGTACAGATATCAAGTAAATGCAGGTCTCGAGCATTCTTTTACCGGTTTTTCCTCGTTCATATCGTATTCTTTCCAAACATGTAATACGAGTGGAGGACCTACGGAATACAAATAAAGATATGGTAAAAGAATTTTTATATTGGTAAAGCTAATAATATTCTACATGCCTCGACGAAACAAAATTACTAATAACGGTGAACCTTAAGAGCCACAGTCTCTCTTATAACAATTAAACAATACCATATCAATTAGGTAGTTGGAAGATTCATTTTATTTCACGATTTTAGATCAAAGATAGGTCTGGTTGGCAACGTCTGAACATAAAAACGTTGGAGTAAAAACCAGATATTCCGTTTATAGAAAACAACTTAAATTATTTTGTCAATGTAGGTATTTTTTTATACGTTTCTCAATACTTCAAAGTTAGGTTATTCGTGGAAATATCGAGATCGTGTTAACTCTATTTTACAAGGAATCCAATACTTCTTGTTTGTTTTCAATGAGTTCAAAGCGTGGAAGATATTATCTTTTGTACCTGTAATGTCTGAAGGCCATAATTAAAAATAGAGCCAGATTTTTCCTCATCAACCTTAACTTCGACATTTTATTTATTCTCAGCTTGCAATACCTACATTTTCCTGTTACTGCTATATTGAAAACCTCTTTTAATTGGTTCTGATTAATTGGAGTAATTGCAAGTGATTCCATTCATACTTATTAATTAAAATAACTGTAGCGTAAAATATTGGCGTTTCCTGCGAGAGTGGAAAATAAATGTACACACTGAGTCTCTACATTATCGTATAACTAGCGACACGCCCCGGCTTTGCACGGGTGCAATGCTAGTACAAAATTTCGCCTTCCTTCTGCATTCTGCATTATACCTATAAGCTTTTCTCTTCAATCGCTCTATCTATTAAAAAAAAACAGCATAAATAATCAAATTTAAATACATCGTTTTAAAGATTTAAACATACATAGGGATATACTCGTAGTAACAGTGATGATTGGAGAGGAAAATTATAAATATTCGTGTATAAAAAACAGGTGGGAAGTGTAGTCCATTTTTTAAAAAAGATTTAATTTTAAAGATTGTAAAAAGCGTGTATGTTTCATTTCATTTTACAGAAACAACTGAAAAAGAGTTACTAGAGAAAACAACGGAACGACTTTTAACAAAACAGAAACATGTTTATCCCCCTTCCCGATAAAGAAAACTTCAGTTTTTGATTACTTAATTAAATTACACAAAATTGTTATAAACATTTTTAATTGATTAGCCTGCGTTATTGTCTCTCAGGTCCACCCCGATAACCCCGAGTGGACATGCTTCGAGCAGAGTGCCCTCCTCGACGTGAAGAACTTCTTCGGACTCGAGAGCACCGTTGAGAAGATTGCCATGAAGCAATACGCTGCCAATATTGCTAAGGGTAAGTTGTTCAAGGCTGTTTATTGAAAAAACATTAGAAATAGCTTCAGCAGTTCTTTTTTATGTAATAGGTCGGCAAACGAGCAGTCGGATTACCTGATGGTAAGCAATCAGCGCCCGCCCATGGACACCCGCAACGGAGGAGTTACGAGTGCGTTGCAGATCTCTTAGGGATTAGGGATTTGGAGATTTTGGGATTGAGGAGGGGAAAGATTGGGCTTCCGGTAACCTCACTCACACGGCGAAACACAACGCTGTGGTTGTTTCACGCCGGTTTCTTCAGTTCCTTTTTGATAGTTGGTAAATAATAACGACTGAAGCATAATAAACTGATCTTAGAACAATTTTTCTGGATCGATATCTTTGACGCTGACGCCCATCCAAGTCATGTCTCCATAAAATTTTGGATTGAGATTGGGATTAATTTTGGCTAAAAAAAGGTTTCGATGAATTTCATGTTTCCAGAATAATAAAAGCAATCCAATACATTTCTGCTTTCTTTCTCAGGCAAGGAGCTCATTGACGTGTTCATGAAGGAGGTCTACGATGATGGAACGATGAACTTGAACCCCTGGAAGCAGGGTGCAGGAACCGAAAACCGTGAGCTTCGGCGAATACTCTCACGAGGAACCGAACCGCTGTCTCCTATGCTCACCTCCGAGAGTAGGACGCACTCCGAACCAGGTTAGTGAATAAGCATTGATGATTATTTCATAGGATACATAAATCGCCGGTTGAGTTTTTCCTTGAAACTAAATAATGGCTAATTTCTTATAAATAACCAAGTATGAACAGGTTTTGGATAATTTTAAGTTTATAAAAGATGGAAAATTCTAGAGTCAATTATGTAACTGCTTTTGAATTGACAATTTTATCCTAACAAAAGCTTTGATGGTATTATTTTCATGAAATCGGAAATGACTAATCGTCCTTCACTGATGACCCTAACGTTACCAAACATTTTACTTTTATGCCCCTTTTTTCACTGTCAAAGCTCTTGCTTTATACAAAGAAATTATACGTAACTTTTACGAAGTATAATTCTTCAAGTCATATTTTGCTAACATTAATATGTACGAAATCCTTTTTACAGACAAAAATAACATACTTACATGTTCAAGGACGCAGTGGGAAGGTCAAAACGTCCTCATAAATACTAAGCACCCTGTCGTACGTAGGGTTAACTTGGTTTAAAGGATAATGAATATTTATGACGTGCGCGCCGGTTACTTACACGCAAACTCGGTATAAAGTACCGCATGTGTTACGTTTTTGCTCTTAGTGTGTTTAGGCCGAGTGGTTACATGATAAGTCTCTGGATATTTTAGGATTTTGAGATGATGTAGTTCACTTCTATTTAGTAGCGTCCTTTTTAAACGTAGATCATGTATTTTTTTCTATTTCTCTTTTAAGCTGGTGCGCTAGTACTAAGTCGTACAAGTCTTTTGGGGGAAACCTGATATTATTTTACGAGTTATAATATCGAACTTGTTAAAAATGGTCTCAGCTATAAAAATGGTATCCGTCATAATCTAATCCATTTTACAAGACAATGTTCTTAACAGATCATTTCAATTCCATTTTTTCTATATTATCTGTAGATATCTAGTTCTTCTGCGTGGGAGGTCTATTCTTAGAGAGGACCTCTTGGAACCCTCACAATAAAGAAAATGCGAATGCTTCCGATGCGTTGAGTTCTCCACAGTAATGAGGTACTTGACACAATACATCTGTTTGTTTCTGGTCTTCTTAAAAGCTGTCTTGTTGGTTTGACTTGGTTACGTATAGTTGGATTTTATTGATTTCTTGCAACTATTTTGTATGATAGGACGTTCAGTTAAGGATAGTGTAGTCAGGGATAGCGCGTAAGCGCACGAAATTTTATTGATCTTAGTTCTTGCACTAAGTGTCGTCCCTGTTGTATCTGGCGAAAAGTGATTATAATTGGTCTCCACTACTTTTTATACACTTACAATGTTTATTTATATTTTTTTATGAATTTGAAGGCACCGGGGGGTTGGTACAAACATCAACAACCCGATCATCGTCTTCACAGTCCATTGTAGGGAGTAGGATTTTATAATCAGGCCGAATAAATTACAAAAATAACGGACGTCGGCGATCCGCCTCAGATGACAGCCACAGCGCTCGCTCTCTAACATAATGCGCACGCAGAACTGCCAGTTTGACGTTCCGCCAGAGTACGATTTATGGTACCCTCGTCCGATGAATTGTAATAAAACCTCCTTCAAAATTCAATTTAAATAATCGTCGCTCCGACAAAGTTAAACTTCACATGGCCAGTGTTGCCAACGAAGTACTGACTTTTACTTTTCTGCACTTGACAAAGACCAAATTCATCGTATTTAAAGTTCATCCTTATACATTTTTTAGTAAAATAATTTGACAATCTTATAAGATCGCGTGTATCAATAACTTGAACCAGTACAAACCGTTGCTCGTTCACACGATCAATCAATTAGCGACCTGTGATTTATGACCCAGAATTAATTAATATCCAATTATGTATTACCTTGAACGAGGACAGTTCGGTTCGAGTACTGTTCGAGTACATTTGATGTTATGGCGGGTCGTTGCTGAAATATTTTGATGAAGTAATTATAATCGGTCTAGGGTTCGGTAGTCATGTACGGTTTTTCAACATTTCTCATGTTATATTGGTGAACTCCTTCATTATAGGAAGCCTATATTCGAGTTGTAGTGGATAGACGAGGTCTTTTAATGAGAAAAATGAAGTTTGACTTCTGGTAAGCGTTAATTAAAAAATTATTATTAAAAAAACAAAATACCCGACTGCACACTAAAAAAAGAGTAAAACAAGCCCCACAATACAAATTTACTGAATATAATTTATAAATGTTGATGGAAAGCATCGCAGGCGGGGACCAACAGAGGCTTATTTATAGTCATTTCTGTTGTGCACCATTTAGCAGAATTTTCGTTGGTGGCAGTCAAGGTGGTCCCCGCCTGCAATGCTTTCCATCAACATTTATAAATTATATTCAGTAAATTTGTATTGTGGGGCTTGTTTTACTCTTTTTTTAGTGTGCAGTCGGGTATTTTGTTTTTTTAATAATAATTTTTTTATTTATAACTTTTTAGCTGTTTTTATTTAACGAAAATGTTGTAGATGTAGAAGACTATGTATATGTAAGTACCATTTTAAATTATTTCGACGACATTTGGCTTTAGATTACATCTAATGATACCGCATAAATATTTTTTTAAAGGGAAATTTAGAAAAATATTATTATGTCTTTATCCCGTGGGACTTTTAGGATAAAATGTATCCTATGACACTCCCGTAATCAAGACAAATCAAACGATACCTCATACATCAAAATCCATCAAGCCGTTTAGGCTACAGGAGGTCACAAAGGAAAAGACATACATACATACATACTTACATACACTCGAAAAACATTACCCTCCTTCTTTGGCAGTCGGGTAAAAAAAGGAAATTTTAAGAAGTCCATGTTGTTAAGACTACAAAGCTTATATGTACTTACCTACATAACATATATGTATTTTGAAAATTGCTTGCCCCACGTGCTTTTACAAACATAGAATTTCACTTACATATTATCACATCCAGACCCGGTACAACAATTAGCGGATAACACAAAGAGTTCTTCTGTGCGGAAATCGAACCCGCGACACGTTACGCTACAGCAATTTACCCAGCCACCGCGCCACCCTATTATTTTAATCGATTATTATAGTAAAATTTGTCTTCTGACAAAATACCAATAATACGAAGAAACCTAATAGTTACGTCATACGTGATTGTTTCAAAAAGATATTTGCCTTCATACGCTATAGAATATCAAAAGGTAACAAGCTTGAGAGACTTGAAGCTACACTTGTTTTATCTTACACTTTATTGACGTTATAGCAGGGCTCGTAAAAAGAAAATTGACTACTTTCGTATCTTTTAACCGGGTGTAAAGATGAAAAATGTAATATGATAACATGAGTTTAATATCGCATTCAATCCTTAAATGGCAACATTGTAGAACCGAGAAAATTTCTTACTTTCATTATCATCAGCGTTTATGTAAGAGCCCACTGCTGAGCAAGTATCTCTTCTTACATTAAGAAGGTTTAAGTATAAATCACCATGCTTACTCAAAGCGGATTGGTGATTTCAAACTTATAATCAGAAATGAAACGTCTTCCTGCCTCACGATGTTTTCCTTCACCGTTATGTCTGTGACGTTTTTGTTATCTTACAAATTTCTTAAGAAGTTTTCTATATTTTATACCCATACGTAATAGGACTAAGGTCAAGACTGACATACTACTGTCAATCCCAACTCCCTTTCTTGTTGGAGTCAAATTGAAAAATGTGGTGCTGGCTCTGAAATCTATCAGATTCTTACGACGTCCAGTAAACAAGACATTGTTTTAACACGTGACCTTTTTAAAACTTTATCCAATCTCCCGAAAAAAGCGAAACGTTATTTACTTTTCAGACTACAGTTAAACCATTTAACTGGACTGAGCGACGACTAACCTTAACCGACTATTTTGTCTAGGAAACTCGGTCAAGGGCTTTTTCGAACCACGTCGGTGGAAGGCCGGCAAATTGCCTCAGGACAGCTGAGCCTCATCAGGGTTGCAAGCATGTTTGGGACGATGATGGTGTCCTAAGTTTTAGGTATTTTAAATTTTAAAAAGCGGTGAAAGGCTTTCGTCTTTTATTTTAATACCAAATAGTTTTTTGTGAGGATTGGGCTTCCGATAACCTCACTCACACAGCGAGTAAAGGCTAAATGTTGCTTCACGCCAGTTTTTTGTGCTAGTCGAGCCAGCCCTTTCGTGCCGAAATATGGCTCTGCTACACAAAAAGTTACTGAAAAATAATTTGATAAAAAACATCGATAAACGAATGTAGACCCCTTTAAGTAACGAAAAAGAATAAAATAAATATATCTAATCAATCAATCCCAATACAAATCACAAACTGCATCAAACTATAATTAATTGTCTAGCAGTGATACGAGATGTCTGTAACAGTTGTACCTCTCTCAGATTATTATGTAAACCGGGAGATCAATGATTATACTCCTCGGTAAATTCCCCCAGCCCTCAGGCACTCAGGCTGGTGGAACACGCTTGTAATTTGTCAGTCAAGGCCAGCCCTGATTAACGTATCCTTTGTTATCTTTCCATTTCGAGATAACTAGCGTGTTCGTTGGTTAGAATGGCAGGCACTGAAGAACTGTGACTAAGTTGACTAAGTTTTATACTTAGATGGTGAAATTCTTATTTGAATCTGATACTTTATTGTGGATTTTGTTAATTAAATGGGTTACAATTGAATGTAATGCTAAATTTATTGAAAATGACGACTAACTCACTGAATTAACTGAAAAATGCTCTACTAGTTCTAAGTCGGCACTGCGATGTCGCCGCTAAATAAATATTAATAAAATTCACTTTATTATAGCGTTTTGTTTCACTTATTGTTGTCCTGTGTGTTATTTACACACGTATGATATAGAAAAACAAACCCCTATTTGGAGTGAAAAAAAAAATGTCGCTAGAACTTTTACCTCCCACAAATCTTCCAATAACAACCGTGGTCTGCTGACGTAAACAGACCTATATGCCATGCCCCAGTTAACGCTTATTTACTCATCTAACTGGTGTTTAATCAAAAGGAATATTTCATATTCCAAGTAGGAGTCGATTTTAATAAATTATTCGTGTCGACAACGGGCTGGAATGTTGGCGGTATTCAAACGATCCCAGCCATTGCTAGCGCTTGTTTCCACTTACCCTCTATTATAATAAGCTTCGTAGAACTCCTCAAAATATTCCCTCCCAATGTTTATTCGTGAATATTTTCGTCTATGAATCGTTTATTCACTGTTTGTTGTGCTAGTGACGCGTTCACCACTTGAATTGCAGAATAAGGACGCTTTTTGTCTCTGGAAAGTATTGTTTAATGTATTTTTTCTTTTCGTTTCATCGATAAATAAACTAGATTTGTTTGTGTTTGGCTTTTGCTAGGGTAAAATATGTAATACTTTATACATTCTATGTTAAGCAACGTATATTGTGTTACGTTTAAATATTTTCTTGTTCATTTTACTCTAGAATAATAATACTTTACTATCATAAAATCAACATTTTACGCCAGAGTCTCCCCGTTTTACCGTTGCATAACATCATAAAACACAAACGGTCCGTTTCTCACCCTCCAGTGATTTATACACATCGAACGCCGACATTTGTGCCGAACGACCTTTAAACCATCCTCTATCGCTCTTTCTTTCCAATTTCATACAAATGTGACCTGTTATCCTGACCCTCATAAAGATACAGAATCAGTCCTGTAGTATTCTTTATGTCAACAATCTCAATGAAACTCCATACATCAGATTATTACAGAAGAGGTTCAAAGATGGGTTTTCTTTGTTGCGCAGAAATTTAAAATCTCTTCCCAAGTTATAAGACGCGGATATTTGCACTTAAAGATAAAGTATTGTTAAATCACAACCATTTTTCACGTCTTGAGAGGAATGTGACAGAATATGTCTTTGAGAAACCCTACTTTTTCACTCGAGATTACTCCTCTAAGATGTCCTTCTTGATACCAATGGAGGCTTATTTGGAACCACTGGTTAACAGGGATTGAGTACCCTGTCTTTGTGACTAACGCCTTAACACAGATTTAAGCTATACGACCAAGTAAGCTTAGAATGAAGTATCTATATGATGTTTCGAATTGTTCAAATCCATTTCTTTCTTATTTTTACAATTCAATAGTAGAAAAATTGAGGTGGGATTACAGTGAGGGTCCACATGCTAAAATATGGTTTTTTGTGAGAGGAAAATCATTAAGGGAGAAGTCGAAAGGTTTTCTTACAGACTCTTACTGACTAACCCCCTCACCCCCTGTTCCTTTTCCTGCTCTAGAAGTCTATACCGAGGCCGCGGTACCTAATTGCGCTTGCCCCGCAACTCTGGCTGAATAGGTTTGTCGTTTGTAAATACATGGATTGCTAAAAAAGTCATTCATGTAACAAAATGAGTCGTCTTTCAACTTTCCGAAATAGAATAATGTTTTGATGTAATCCCATTTTTATTTGTTTATTGTGTTTCTTGTAACTGGCCATAAGTAGCGGGCGATTTATAGTTACACAGCTGTTCCGTATCATTGAGTGCAAAAGAAAGTAAACTGCGAGCGCTAGTATCGTTTATTGCGTAAAAGATAAAATTTATGGCTCGTTGCACGCCGACTTTTATGAATAGGCTCCGTGGCTCGTGGCTCGTAGATTGTATCGGGAAATCGGAACACCTGTCTGGCTTCCGAGATTATGTACTTCCAGTCAGGTAGTTGTGGCGTATCCAATGTCAAGTGTCGTCGCTACTTGATCGATAGCAGTGTGTTGAAAATGTTGACAATTATTGTTTTGTAATTGTTGTGTTATATTGATTTGTTTGTCAGTTTCTCTTAACAGTTTATTTTATGCTTGTTGTTTAAAGGTGTTTCAGATTATATTATTTTAATTTTATATTTGATTGGAATTAATTTATCTTGTCAAGTGTTAGGTCCTTTGTGATCTTAATTTACTAAAAGTCCTTTGAATTTATATCATAACATATTATGTACACAAAAACAGTTGGTATCTTAGACAAAGAATCAATTATCGATCATGTAGGGCACGACAAACAGTACTATTACAATGCAACATTTTATTAGAAGAGAGGATGAAGGCACTTCTTGTTTAGATAAATAAATTAAATAGTGCTTACCATCGTTTTTTGTACTATTTATATGAGTTTACACTATCGGTGTAGAACAAGTTTGTCAGGATTTATGTCGGCCATGTGAGTTACTGAAGTAACTCGTAAAGCAACTTACGTTGAAAGCACTTATGAATAATATTCTTTCTTTATTTTTTTCATATTCTAAGATTCGCTGATAGTAAACTGTCCGTAATAGCATAGACCATATTAGATATATTTTAGCATATAGTGACACCAGTTCGATCCAATCCTAACTTATATGTTATTAACCACATGCCTAGAAAATATCGAGTGAACTACCTACACGTTGGTAAGACTTATACAAGCTGAAACACCTCTAGAACCGTTGACGCAAACTGAAAATCCAATCCGTCCCAATCTTTCCTTACTCCTATCCTGTCCTCAAATAACCTTTTCCTTCCCAGGCCCAGCAGGGACCTCCAAGACTCTTCCCAGAAACTTGCGTGATTCTCCAAAATCGTCACCTACACCATCGGAATCTGACGATAGTGAAAAACACTCAAGTCAGAAGAAAGGTTACTTTCAACGCGGGAGACAAAAAATTAAAAAAACCATGTCTCCAAGAAGTTTCAAGCGGTTCCGTCGTAGTAAGCTCGAGTCAGAAAAGAGATCAGAGAAAGAAGATGCTAAATTAAGAATTTCTGACGAAGACCTGCAACAATTCGCTGCCTTTATGCCCAGCACATCACTGGATTACCCAGGGCAGGGCTTGCCATGGTCACAGCCGCCGTGCACGTGCGCCCCGACGTCGACGGGCGCGCTCACCCGGTGGGACAACTTGCTCGTGGTGTTGGTATGTGCCACTGTGTTGACCCTTATATTGTCCACTCCTGTGTCTGTCTTTTTTGGGCGACGGGAGAGGCGAACATAAATGTAAATAATATATTCTATTTTACTTTTGAACTTTTTTGTTTTTATTATTTTTTTGTGAATAAATGCATAAGCTTTAAGTGTTGAATACTATTTCAAAATCAGGAATCTAAATCTAACTTACATTGCACATAACGTACTTCGATCAAGTTTAGATAATAGTCGATAGCGCAGTCGAACTTTAAGAGTTACTTAAAATAAGTCTCCGAATAGCTGGAAGCGCAGTTCAAAAAGTCGTCGAACAGACAGTGTTATCTACTAAAGTGTTGGGCTTATCGCAGCAATAAACTATTGAGTGGTTGTTAAGTAATCTGCGTGTAAAAGGATCGTTTAGTTAGTAATACCTAGGCTGAGTGGCTGAGGTATCGGTGGCGGGCTGACGGCCGGTATCTCGTGTCTATCTGCAATATTATTATTGAACATCACTTAAAGTAATTGAAACCGCCGTGCGCTGGGTCACTGCGGCGTCTCCGCTGACCTTAACACGATCACGGAATGTATACTATGCTAATATTCTTTGTGCGCACGTATACCTGTTTCGTTACTTTGTTTTTGTTTATTATTGAACTGGTTTAAGATTGTTCATGTGACATTGATTTGTACCGAGACCTTGAAACAGTCACTTACGACCCAAGTCTGTGTAACAACATTCGTGGCATTACCAAAAATTTTTTTAAGAAGATTATTTTTTATTATTTCTATTATGCACACAGGAACGGGAGAAAGCCAATCCTTTGCCAATATCCACAATTTTATTGTGATTACTTTGAATATAAATGCCATAAAAGCTACATGGTCGCTAGCAGCTACTTCATATGCGTCGCCTGTACTGGAAATTGGTAGAATTAAATGTTGTGTAGTTGTTTTAGCTAGCAATTTTGTACCTAATATCTCTCTCTATTTATTGTAATTGTTGTTCCAAGTTTAGATTAAATCTAGACCTCCCCGAAATGAACAAAATTTAGATTAATTCTCATGAAACCTCTACAGTATTATTGCTCGTTCTGCCACTTTCAGTCCATATTAGGCTTAGTGTGTAACCAGCCTAATTCCGTTTATTGAACGTAACTCCGAAGCTTTTTACTTCCGAGAATCGCCTGATAGAAGAATCCTGTAGATAACTCGGTGAGTCTCCAGGTTTTATTGAATAAGAGTAGATAGAATGTATTATATTAACTTTTCCTTTTAGTGTTTACTTTCAAGAGATGAATATGAAATATGAGACGCGGTTGAGTTTGTGAACATTTTATTACCTACTTACATTCTTTACGCTTACACTTGTACAAAAATTTTTCTTCTAACTCTTTTTTTTATAATAAAAAAATGATTTGATGGTCATATCATATTATCATATAGCAGTAACTGAGCTAAAATATCATATAAAATATCCCTTTATCTCGATAAGTCTTGGATACCTATTTATTATCTTTTGATCTTTTTGACAGAACATAATATTAATGTATAAAGAACTAGCGGCCCGCCCCTGCTTCGCACGGGTCCAACTATCTCGCTATCAAAGGGTCACTTTTATCTAACCTTCCCCTCTACTTTTCTAATATTTCTTTGATAAGATCCTTCTCCTGACAATAACAAATACAACAAAAAAAAAGAATTAGCAAAATTGGTCCAGGCGTTGTTGAGTTATGCGCTTACCAACACATTTTGCGATCCATTTTTATATATAAGAAGATAAGATTAGAGGTATAAATTCTAATCGAATCCTAAACACCTCTTTTGTTTGAATCTACATAACTAAATAATTAAATCTCAGCCGAGCAATTTGTTCTAATAAAAGAAGCTAATTAAATGGAATAGAAAGACCCTTGAAACAAGCCAGTGGGACAAAACCACTCTCATTTGTAATCAGCTCTTGAACTAACAAAATGAACACAACTTTTATAGTTTTACTTTAATTGCGGACACGAGGCTTGCCTAACAAAGGCGGACTGAGGCAAACCAGTGACCTCTCTACTGAGGGACCTTATTACTGCCTCCTTTTTAAATAGATGTCCCTCATCAAATTGTTTAATGGCGTCCGACCTTAGGCAGGAAAGACGTGACACTTCGGTCCAAAGGACCGCAGGATAGTCCATCCCAAACGGTCAAAGTTCGGAGGACGAGTGCATCGCCGACCTTTTGGGGATTATGGATTAAAAGATTTTGGGATTGGGGGAGGAGAAGGATTGGGCCTCCGGTAACCTCACTCACACGGCGAATCAAAACGCTGTGGTTGTTTCACGCCGGTTTTCTGTGAGGCCGTGGTATCACTCCGGTCGAGCCGACCCATTCGTGTCGATGCATGGCTCCCCCACACTTAAATGTTTCATTACAGTTGAATATTTTATAATGTAAAAGCAATTTTGATGTATATTTGTTCGCACCTATATCTACAGATGATGTCTTTAAGGCATCGATAGCAATACAGGAACTGTATTGGTGTATATTACATGGTTTTCTATTCTCATTGTGGTTGATATTGTTTTCTATGTGGTCTGACTAGTCTATATTTCACACGAACGTGTACTCTGTGGTGTAGAGGGTAGATTCGAAAATCCAATAAAGTTCGTAAGTTCGTCCCTAACATATTATTTTACGTCCACTCGTGCAGATTTGAGTCGACTATGTATAAAAGTTTCTAGCTATAAAAATATAGATTAATGCAAGGTTTTCTTCGTTACGCTCGTCTGTGACAAAAATGACAGACATGTCTTCATAGAAAGACATTTACAATTTACATTCATAAGTCCCAAAGCAGTTATTTACATTGCCAAATTATTTAGGGTAGCAAGTCCAGTTAATCGGAATATTGTTGTTTTTCCAAGTGGGCGGCTTGTTACGCCCACTGGGGTATTATGATTCATAGAACAATGGTTTGGAATACTTAGAAGCTTTTACTAATTAGTTAGTTTTGTTGGTGATAACGGTTAAAAGGTCTCTTAATTTTTGTTGTTTGTTGTACTTGAAGAGAGATGAAATTATGTTGGCACCAATTAATAACTGCCGTTACTTACTTGAGTTTCTATCTACCAGATTAGCTTGTGATATAATCTGGAGGACAATGTGGAGCATATGGTGGTTTTTTTTTTTTTTGTTAGGGGAAAATCATCAAATGACTTCTCCCACCCAGGGTAAGGCGAGAGAGAGTGTCAGGCTCTTACTGACTAAAAACCCCCCGTTCCTTCTCCTGCTCTGGGCCGAGGTCGCGGTGCCTCATTGCGCTTACCCTGCAGCCCCGGCTAAATCCGCAGCCCCAGCTAAATATGGTGGTGTTGTGCCCTGCTTGGGCTTAGCATCGCCGTGTCCTCAGGGAACTGATCACTCCGTGCGGCGGAGATCGAACGACGATCTCCGGCCACCGAAAGCACGGGTCTGCGGTGGGCGAGCAAGAGTAGCTTGTCTCGATTTTCCCCTCACAGAAAAAAACTTGTGATAGAAGCATACTCAATTCCCTTTGAAACCTAATGACAAAGAACCCTATAGGTACAAGATACAGATATAGTACCTACGCAGAGTATTGATTTAACTGAGCTCCCGAAGGAGCGAAACATTCGCACTGTAGGAAGTCGGTGCATGTGGAAAATGTTAACACATTTCACATTACATTGTGAACTATGTTACATTTAAACCATAAAGGTCTAGTTAAAACTGCACATGTGCAATCTTTTTCGCCACTCTTTGCTTGTTATGAACCCAGTGTTATCGAGCTTTCTGTCAGCCACCAGATTTCTGACACTATCACTGATTTTTTTGGAAGTGGGCAAATCTGCCTGATCTGTTGATAGAACACGAAATCCCCTATTCAATAGTCGAGTTTGCAACTGCTTAATTAACAAGAGCCAGCCATTTCCCAGTTGCAAATATGCTTGTACCAAAAACTTCAGTGCACCAGCAACTTTGATACTTCAGAACTGAACATGACCCAAAAACTAAAGGGCAGTGGAACAAACTGGCGGCTTTAAACCAAAGTGCTCTTTTGCCTTTAAAATCGACCGGCACGGGACAGGAACGGGACGGAATCGGCACTGTGACGTATTGTCACGTATTCATAGAACTGTTTCATGTAAATGTCAGCTCTGGTGCCTTTTGTTGTGCTTTTGTAGGAGCCTCGTTGTTTACATTGATTAATTGAATTTGGTTTTTGTTCGAACAGTGTCTATTCGGAATATAGTATCATAGGGATTTGATAATAGACTCTGATATTTGGTAGTATTTAACTATACTTATACTTATAGATATTACTTTATATTTATTTGCTCTTGATGAGTTTTCTCCCATTTAGTTGTTGATACTGCCATTTTCAACCTCCTTAATAAGCGTGGTATTTTTGGTTAATTCCTCTTTTGAAGTAAAATGACGGATTGCGGAATTATGACTGGAAGGATTCTTAAATCAATAAGATAAGAACATAGCACGCAGATAAGTGTGGTAGAGTCATGCTTTTTGGCACGATTGGACCGCCTCAACCGGAGTGATACCACGGCCTCATGGAAAACCAGCATAAAACAACACATGCGTTATGTCTCGCTGTATCTGCTAGGTTACCACAAGCCCACACCCTTATATCCGTCCTTAAACCTCTTACCCTCAAAAGCCCGACAATGCACTCGTAACCCCTTTGGTGTTACAGGTGTCCATTGGCCTCGCTGATTGCTTACCTTCAAGTCATCCGCCTTCTTCTCTGTAGCCTTTTGCTATAGAAAAGACAAGACCATAAAACACTGTATAAAAAACAAACAATCTCATAGCACTAGTTGCCAATTGCTACTAGCATCACGTTTTTAATCCTCCGAGGGTTGGGTAGAGGTCGTTGTACACTTATTATTGTTGCGACTTGCGACGCCATATTGAATCCCATGTGACAATGCAAGATAGCTGTTTATTGCTATTTATCTGTATCGGTACAGACAGATATTACTGCACAGTTGAAACGGTGACTGGGATGCCAGCTGCCGTGCAACGTGTTGCGGGTTGGAACCTCATGCAACAGCTCTTTGTGTGATCTACAAATTGTTGTTCCCAGTTTGTGTGTGATGCTTTAAAAATGCTGGTTTTAATTGCAAGTTGAGTAAAAATTAATATTATAAATGTGCGTAAATTTTCGTATAGGTGACATTCACTAGTTGATTTATATCCTTACAAATACTTTTAAAAATACCAAATCGATTTTCATAAATAAAAATTTCTTTTCAGCTTTTTTCTTAAGAGCATAAATCTCAGTATTAATAATTGGCCAAAGGAAATAACCCAGGCAGTTACTGACGCGGTGACGTATAAATATTACAGTTAGGAAACCTTCAAAAAGTTTCGAATAAAAATGGCAGCGCGATACAGCGGCGAACGCGGATTTTTCGTAAAGGAATAAAAGCCACACGACATTGTCTCGTGTACAGGGTGGTTTATTTTCCAACTCACATTACGCCACACGACATACAGCCGCATTCGTCTTTGTTACACTCCCACAATGTAACTTTAGCTAAAAGTTTTACTACACTTGTGAATTTTAAGTAATTTAATGTTCGCAGCCTGTATTTTGTGCCTAGTATTTGAATACAGAAATTGTTAATTGTCTGTAAAAAGAAAAGTTTGTTCAAAAAAGACGTGACTTTGTTTTAACTTTCATGTGCTCGAATAAATAATGTGTTTGTGAAACTTCAAGAAAAAAGCACTACAAACTTCCTTTAAATTTCTTGTAGAATCTACGATTACTTTTATTTACATACCTTTTGTCTGTAATACGTAATCTACATACGAGAATGTAAAG